CTGAGGGTGGTGGGGGGGTGGTGAGGCTGAGGGTGGTGGAGAGGCTGAGGGTGGTGTAGGGTGGTGGGGGGTGAGAAAGAACCTACCTTTACTCGCTGGTGGTCCAGTGGGCTCCCTGGTGGTCCCGTGGCCATTGCTTCCGGTCTGCAGCTCTGCAGAGTAACCCGCGGCAACGCTCTGATTGGCCAGTTCCCGTGAGACACATGGTCTGCAGCTCTGCTCACTGCGGAGCTGCAGACCAGTGTCTGCGGTGGCAGGCCGGGCAGCCAGGAGGGGCCTTGCACCCGGCGGCATACCGGGCAAGCCGCCGGGCCCTCTCCTGGTGTTAGGTCCTCGATCAGTGACCGAGGACCCAACACAGTCTGCCCACAGGCGGTTTAGGTGGCCGTGAGGCCCCTGCCAGTGCGAGGCCTTAGGCGCTCTCCTAAACCCCCTAATTAGAGAGCCGCCTCTGATGCCCACTCCACTGACAGAGCTTACTGGTCTTGTTTTTCTTGTGCTATAGAAAGTTGGGGAAATTTATTGAAATGTAATTTGTACCAAGCTACTGAGCCCATCATAGACGTGCACTGCCACTTGGGTAAAGTAGGTCCTCTCATAACTGTAAGCTAGTGAGAACAATATTTCAAAAGTGTAATCAGTGAGAGTCCCTCATGTAGACAGAAGACTTCAACATGTGAAAATACATTTGCCCCAGACCTCAAGGTGAGAAGGAACATTGGTGAGAACTCATTTTTACTTTGGACAAAGAGATGATATAAAATAGTGAAGTAAACCGAAAATCCTACTACTAAATGTCTGTAACATTACTTTCTCACAATGGTATAAATACATTTAGTGAAATATTTATAATTAGAATATTTTAAGTTAAAATGACAACAGTGTCCCCTGCTTGCAGAGTACAGAGCATGCAGGGATACCCAGTTTGGGTCTTTTCAAACATGGCGAGTCTCCCTATAAAAAAAGGAAAACTTGGAATCCTAGCAGATTCCAAGAGAAACAATGTGGCTGAATATGATCATTCAGTCACAGTGATTTAAACGGCAATTTTCTAAATCGATGTGTGGTCACTAAATCTGACCCCACCTGACAATGGGTAGTTCCAGGTATTTAGTAATTTTGAATGTAAGAACTGCTGGCACTTAAAAGGAAATATATGCATGTTAACTCAGGATATGCTGTGTCAAGAGGGAGTGGAAGGGTTATTCCAAGCACCATGACCATGACCACTTCACTGCTTTGAAGTGATCATGGTGCATGGAGTCAGTATGTGCAGTGTTTCGCTATGAAATTTTGCACATACAGAGTTTAACCCATCTGCTGCCAGATATGTAACTCCACCTCCAGCAGAGTCATTGGGGCATAATTAACCGGCCTGGAAAAAAATGTTCCAAGTAACTAAAATGGATTCTAAACATATTGAACATCTGACAGCAGTACACACAACAGTAATGCATATCAGGAAGGGCGGGCTGAGAACGTGACATGGGCCGTCCATATCCTCACTGTGGATCATCCTCCATAACAGATGAATCAGGCTGCTGAGAGGAATTGGCCTTGGTGATGGAATGGTGCTGTGTTAGCATTTGTTTTTAGATTTGGGATAGCGAACCAGTACAGCAAGTGTTACTCTAACCAAAAAGAGTGTTTTATGAAAATAGTTCAGTAAGTCAGGAAACCTACAACAATTTACTAAACCTACAACAGTATTAAAAAAAAACAACCTTGCATTTGGAAGTTTATGACCATCATTTAGTGGACTATCTGGTACCAGAGTAAGTGAAATTGGTACTTTGGATATAAAGAAGACTTAAAGAATGAGGTAAAAAGAAGCCAAAGTAGAAGATAAACATCTACACCACCTTTGAACCGGGTCAAATTTGCATGTCAGGTATCTGTAGGCACAAAATTCGAAGCCGCCCCCTGCTACCCAATGCCAAAATAGAGCAAATAATGTAAGTATGTATTAATTGTACATTGCAGGCCTAAAATCGACTTAAACATATTTATATTTGCCAACTGCATTTGTATAAATGCATTTATTGCATATTTTTGCTCTACTTGCAATGCATTGAGTTTCAATATTTGAGTATATTGAGTTCAGGGTTAAAGATAATGTTAGAAGTGGATAGGGTAGAGGGGCTTTTAAGGTGAGAAAGGAGTTAACGTCAGAGTTAGATTACACAGGATGTTTAGTGTTTAGTGTCTAGATACCCTTGATAAAGGTTACCAGGCGGAGCCGAAACGTTGGGGGTTATTTTTGACTCATGTTTCTGCCCATTTAGGCTTGTGGATTGTGGTAAATATGTATTTTTGTATATTAATTGCCTAGTGAGTCACTGATTTTGTTATTTGTGATGTATTTGTATATGTAATGTAATAAATATAGATAGATACTTTATACTACAGGGAGTGCAGAATTATTAGGCAAATGAGTATTTTGACCACATCATCCTCTTTATGCATGTTGTCTTACTCCAAGCTGTATAGGCTCGAAAGCCTACTACCAATTAAGCATATTAGGTGATATGCATCTCTGTAATGAGAAGGGGTGTGGTCTAATGACATCAACACCCTATATCAGGTGTGCATAATTATTAGGCAACTTCCTTTCCTTTGGCAAAATGGGTCAAAGAAGGACTTGACAGGCTCAGAAAAGTCAAAAATAGTGAGATATCTTGCAGAGGGATGCAGCACTCTTAAAATTGCAAAGCTTCTGAAGCGTGATCATCGAACAATCAAGCGTTTCATTCAAAATAGTCAACAGGGTCGCAAGAAGCGTGTGGAAAAACCAAGGCGCAAAATAACTGCCCATGAACTGAGAAAAGTCAAGCGTGCAGCTGCCGCGATGCCACTTGCCACCAGTTTGGCCATATTTCAGAGCTGCAACATCACTGGAGTGCCCAAAAGCACAAGGTGTGCAATACTCAGAGACATGGCCAAGGTAAGAAAGGCTGAAAGACGACCACCACTGAACAAGACACACAAGCTGAAGCGTCAAGACTGGGCCAAGAAATATCTCAAGACTGATTTTTCTAAGGTTTTATGGACTGATGAAATGAGAGTGAGTCTTGATGGGCCAGATGGATGGGCCCGTGGCTGGATTGGTAAAGGGCAGAGAGCTCCAGTCCGACTCAGATGCCAGCAAGGTGGAGGTGGAGTACTGGTTTGGGCTGGTATCATCAAAGATGAGCTTGTGGGGCCTTTTCAGGTTGAGGATGGAGTCAAGCTCAACTCCTAGTCCTACTGCCAGTTCCTGGAAGACACCTTCTTCAAGCAGTGGTACAGGAAGAAGTCTGCATCCTTCAAGAAAAACATGATTTTCATGCAGGACAATGCTCCATCACACGCGTCCAAGTACTCCACAGCGTAGCTGGCAAGAAAGGGTATAAAAGAAGAAAATCTAATGACATGGCCTCCTTGTTTACCTGATCTGAACCCCATTGAGAACCTGTGGTCCATCATCAAATGTGAGATTTACAAGGAGGGAAAACAGTACACCTCTCTGAACAGTGTCTGGGAGGCTGTGGTTGCTGCTGCACGCAATGTTGATAGTGAACAGATCAAAACACTGACAGAATCCATGGATGGCAGGCTTTTGAGTGTCCTTACAAAGAAAGGTGGCTATATTAGTCACTGATTTGTTTTTGTTTTGTTTTTGAATGTCAGAAATGTATATTTGTGAATGTTGAGATGTTATATTGGTTTCACTGGTAATAATAAATAATTGAAATGGGTATATACTTGTTTTTTGTTAAGTTGCCTAATAATTATGCACAGTAATAGTCACCTGCACACACAGATATCCCCCTAACATAGCTAAAACTAAAAACAAACTGAAAACTACTTCCAAAAATATTCAACTTTGATATTAATGAGTTTTTTGGGTTCATTGAGAACATGGTTGTTGTTCAATAATAAAATTAATCCTCAAAAATACAACTTGCCTAATAATTCTGCACTCCCTGTATATGGTGTGCATTCTTTGTTACTTACTAGTGTTAAAAAGATTAACAGCTTGATATGGGTTAAAATTGTCATTTAAAGGCTGTTTAGGATTGAGTTCAGATCTTGAGTTGGATTAAACATAGTATTGGGGTGGATGAGGTGTTTAGTTTAGTTAAGAGGAGTTAAATATCGGATTAAGGTAAAGGGTTTATTTTCAGGTTTAGAAGGTACTCAACCTTCTGAAGTATCTCACAAAAGTGAGTACACCCCTCACAGTTTTGTAAATATTTTATTATATCTTTTCATGTGACAACAATGAAGAAATGACACTCTGCTACAATGTAAAGTAGTACGTGTACAGCCTGTATAACAGTGTAAATTTGCTGTCCCCTCAAAATAACTCAACACACAGCCATTAATGTCTAAACCGTTGGCAACAAAAGTGAGTACACCTCTAAGTGGAAATGACCCTCATGGGCATGGAGTTCACCAGAGCTTCAAAGGTTGCCACTGGAATCCTCTTCCACTCCTCTATAGCGACATCACGGAAGTGGTGGATGTTAGAGACCTTGCGCTCCCCCATCTTCCATTTGAGGATGCCCCACAGATGCTCAATAGGGTTTAGTTCTGGAGACATGCTTGGTCAGTCCATCACCTTTACCTTCAGCTTCTTTAGCAAGGCAGTGGTCCTCTTGGAGGTGTGTTTGGGGTTGTTATCATGTTAGAATACTGCCCTGCGGCCCAATCTCCAAAGGGAGGGGATCATTCTCTGATTCAGTATGTCACAGTACATTTTGGCATTCATGGTTCCCTCAATGAACTGTAGCTCCCCAGTGCAGCAGCACTCATGCAGGCCCAGAACATGACACTCCCACCACCATGCTTGACTGTAGGCAAGACACAGTTGTCTTTGTACTCCTCACCTGGTTGCTGCCACACACGCTTGACACCATCTCAACCAGATAAGTTTTTCTTGGTCTCACAGGACCTGGTTCCAGTAATCCATGTCTTTAGTCTGCTTGTCTTCTGCAAACTGTTTGCGGGCTTTCTTGTGCATCATCTTTAGAAGATGCTTCCTTCTGGAAAGACAGCCATGCATACCAATTTGATGCAGTGTGAGGCGTATGGTCTGAGCACTGACAGGCTGACCCCCCTACTCCTTCAACCTATGCAGCAATGCTGGCAGCACTCATATGCCTATTTCCCAAAGACAATCTTTGGATATGACATTGAGCACATGCACTCAACTTCTTTGGTCAACCATGTAGCTGCTCCCTACAGAACTTACCACCACCGGACCACCAGGGATGGCTGTGCCCCCCTTCATTAAAGGTAAGAAGGAGGGATGGGGGGATACTGATGTAGCATACTTTTTTTTTAAACACCTGATTTTTTTTAAACACTGATTTTTCTAAGGTTTTATGGACTGATGAAATGAGAGTGAGTCTTGATGGGCCAGATGGATGGGCCCGTGGCTGTATTGGTAAAGGGCAGAGAGCTCCAGTCCGACTCAGACGCCAGCAAGGTGGAGGTGGAGTACTGGTTTGGGCTGGTATCATCAAAGATGAGCTTGTGGGGCCTTTTCGGGTTGAGGATGGAGTCAAGCTCAACTCCCAGTCCTACTGCCCCCACACAGTACCCCTACCCCTCACACAGTACCCCTACCCCCACAAAGCACCCCTACCCCCCACACACACAGTACCCCTACTCCCCACACAGTACCCCTCACACAGTACGCCTAACCCCTAGCCCCTACACAGCACCCCTACCCCCAGACAGCACCCTTACCCCCCAAACAGTACCCCTAAACCTCACACAGTACCCCTAACCCCCACACAGCACCCCTACCCCCCACACACTGGTATCCCTACCCCCACCATGAGCACCTCTACCCTCCACACACAGTACCCTACCCCACACGGTACCCTAACCCTCACGTGCCCTACCCCACACAGCATCCCTACCCCACACAGTGCCCCAACCTGCACAGTGCCCCCCTGCCCCCCACACACGGTACCCTACCCCCCCCCACAGCACCATATCCCAGCCCACCCCACAAAGCGCCTACCCTCCCACACAAGGTACCCTACCCCCCACACAGTACCCCTAACCCTCACTGAGGTGCCCTACCCCCCCGCACACAGCACCACTACCCCCCACACACAGTACCCTACCCCCACACACACAGTACCCTGCCCCCCACACACAGTGCCCCTACCCCCACACACAGCACCCCTACCCCCACACACACAGTGCCCTAACCCCCCACACAGTGCCCTACCCCCCCACACACACAGTATCCTACCCCCACAAGCACCCCTGCCTTTACACACACAGTGCCCTACCCCCACACAGGTGCCCTAACCCTTACACGGTATCCTTACCCCACACAGCACCCCTACCCCCACACGGTACCCTACTCCCACACCAGCATCCCTCCCCCCCACACACCCCAGCCCCTACCCCACCACACACAGCTCCTGCTCCCACCACACTACAGCACCCCTACTCCTGAGCCTGACCCCTACTTTACCACACACAGCACCCCACCACCCCACACAGTGCCCTACTTGCGGTAACCCTGCCTCCACACACTGTGCCCCTAAGCCCCCCCACACAGGCACCACTTCACCCCCCTACCCCCCCCTGCAAAGGCACCCCTACCCCCCACACAGTTACCCTACCCCCGCAGCACCCTACCCCACACACACGGTACCCCTGCCCCACGCAGCACATCCCTCCCCCCCCACCCAGCACCCTACCCCCACCACACTGGCACTTTCTCCCCACCACACAGCACCCCTACTCCACCACACACAACACCCCACCCCACCACACACAACACCCCCTACCCCACACAGTGCCCCTAACCTCACTGGTGCCCCTACCCCCTCCACGGCCCCCTACTTACACAGTACCCCTACCCCAACACACACAGCACCCTTACCCCCACAACACACACACACAGCACCCCTACCCCCACACAGCACAGCACCCCTCACACACACACAGCACCCTTCACACACACACACAGCAACCCTCAGACACACAGCACCCCACACACAAACACATACACTGCACCCCTCAATGCAATCTGTGTGTGTGTGTGTGTATTCAGTGGACTGTGTGTGTGTGTATTCAGCGGACTCTGTGTGTGTGTGTATTCAGCGGACTATGTGTGTGTGTATGTATTCAGCAGTCTGTGTGTGTGTATTCAGCAGTCTGTCTGTATGTGTATTCAGCAGACTGTGTGTGTGTGTGTGTGTGTGTGTGTGTGTGTGTGTATTCATCAGTCTCTGTATTCAGCAGTCTTGTGTGTGTGTATTCAGCAGACTGTGTGTATGTATTCAGCAGTTCAGTTCTTTTAAAACAAAAGTTGTTAATTAGTTCGGACAACTGTAAGAGTTGTTTTTTCTAAACTTAAACCTCAGTATTCAGGTTTAATTGCTGTGTTGGCACTTTGAGGGGAAAAAAAGTTGGCTTGTATTGCTGTTTGGGCACTCGGGCTCAAAAAGGTTCACCATCACTGGCCTAGGCCATCTTTATGTAGAGCAACAATTCTTTTTTTTCAGATCCTCAGAGAGTTCTTTGCCATGAGCTGCCATGTTGAACTTCCAGTGACCAGTAAGAGAGAGTGTGAGAGTGATAACACCAAATTTAACACAGCTGCTCCCCATTCACACCTGTGAGTCACATGACACTGGGGAGGTAAAATGGCTAATTGGGCCCACTTTGGACATTTCCACTTAAGGGTGTACTCACTTTTGTGGCCAACGGTTTAGACATTAATGGGTGTGTGTTGAGTTATTTTGAGGGGACAGCAAATGTACACTGTTGTACAGGTTGTACACTTACTACTTTACATTGTATCAGAGTGTCATTTCTTTAGCGTTGTCACCTGAAAAGATAAAATACAATATTTACAAAAATGTGAGGGGTGTACTCACTTTTGTGAGATACTGTATGTCTTATGTAGACCAATCAGATTGATGATATTAGAACTGCAGAAATGGTTATACAGTTTGCATCACTTACAGCTTCCCCTACTGCAAGACATTTTGTGTGTAAGAGGTTACTACTGAACAGATGGGAAGTGATGCCTTCCACTTCCTGCCCAGCTTCACACACAGATTTTGGAGGAGCTTACTTCCCCATATGACTGTTCCTGCAGTTCTGCTATTAGGGCTAACTGGACTACCCAACCATCCCAAATTCGGCAGGACAGTCATGATTTTTGTGTCCTGTGCCACCTTAGTTCCCTGATGTCCCACTCTTTGGAACACCAGGAAACTGCCCTTAACATTAGCGCACTAGGAAACAGTACTCCCTTTGCGTCCTGCCCTAATTGGGCTGGCAGCCTGGAGTGCATTCACGCCATGCTAACCTGCCATTAACTTTGGTGGACCCTCCCCTTTAAGGGCAGAGCTAGTAATGCAATTGTGTCACTGGGCTTCCCCATTACCCCTCTCCCTCCAGCATGCGGATTTGCAGCTTGCCGGTGTTGGGAATATGGGACACTGGCCAAGCTGCAACGCTCTCCAAGCGCATTAGGTTCCTCCTCATCTCTGACATCGGAGGAGGCACTGGAATAAGGTCAGTGAAGGAAAGATTTATTTAACCCTTGTCCCCTTGGTGGTACTTTTTCTCCCCTCAAGTCTATTTAAACTCAATAAGGCACAATATAAGTGTTGAGAACAGGTGCCCCCTAGTGGACAGGCACCTGTTGGCAGGGGCTTACTCTACCTAATGGGAAATATGGCCCTGCCTTGGAAGAAGCAGGCAAGGCAAACACTGACAATATGGGCAATAGCCAAAACGTGGTAAACCATGAATATAACTGAAATTAACTTTTTATAAACAGAATTGGTTTTCTTCCACAATTTAACATTGAATTCATATTGATTGAGTATGCAGCATGTTATAACGCATTCCATCTTTTTATCACTCAGACATACGTAGTCAGTTTGTTATTATGGAAAGCTAATCAAGGCAAGTATTGGCACAGCATAAAGTTTTAAGATTATCCGAATTTCCAGTGTTTTCCTCTGTTAACACTACTCAGAATCATAAAAGAAATAAAAAAGAGTTTTCATTTATTACCATGTGTGAAGAGGGAATACAAATAGCATTTCCTGATGGTTTTACCAATATTGCTTTCACATATTTTAGAAAAGGCTTTTTGTTTTTAACTTTCTCCAGAATATAATAAAAGGAAAGAAAACAAATGTGTATTTAATAATCATTGTCTGACCTCTGCATATTAGAGAAAGTGCTGTAAATCCATATTAAACTTCAAGGTTAACTTATTTTACTTAAGTGTTTCATGCTTCATTCACATTGCAGAACCACATCCCCATTCTCCAACTAATCAAGCTCTTCAGACGTCAACTCATGCAGATCCCTGCTTTGCACCCAGAGTCTGACCTTGTAATTAGTGAGCCAGTGAAAGAAAAGGATAAAGTAGCCTGCTGGTGAAAATAAATTATTGTTATTACACATTCTTCCCCTGCCCTGCCTCTCTCACATTTCCTCTCCCAGATCTGTGTTATTGCATGCGGAGTATAATAAAACAGCAGATATAACTAATCTTTGCTTTCTTGTTTTCTGATATTGCAAGAACTGTAATGTAAAGGAACACTACAGCTTTAGGAATACAAAGTTGTATTCCTAACATTTAAATGGTCCTCTGCACCCCCCTCCCGCCCCTGCTCTGAAAGTGCCCCCTTTGCAGCACTGAAAAGGTTAAATAACCCTTTCTTTTACAAACCTTATTCCAGCACCTCAAATGATGTCAGGGCTGAGATGAAGCTAATGCGCATACGTGGCGAGCGCTGTGTGCACATTAGGCCTTTACCATAGGAAAGCAGAGGCTCCTATGGGGATTTTGAGGACACTGGACATCATCATGCAAATTGTGAGTATGTGCAGCGTAGCTTCATTGAGTCCAACTCTGGGAAATAGCAAGAGGTACCTCTCTTGGTTGTCTGGTAGACAACCACTAGAGGCAGTCTTCAGTTTCTCTGAAGCTGCAATGTTTTAAATTGCAGTGTCACTTTAATGCATAAGCGAATAAGAAAATGTCTTTGCTAATAAATGTAACTTGCAGAAATAAATATCATTGTCTAACCTCTGCATATTAGAGAAAATGCTGTAAATCCATATTAAACTTCAAGGTTAACACTAATATTTTGCCTAAAACTTGAACTACTATGCATCCTTTTGATACAAGTCAAATCCTCAATGGATGCTAAACTCCTCTAAACTGGAAAAGTTCCTCCAGGGTTCCTCACTATTTAATCAAAGTTTCCTGCACCGGGGAGTTAGCCCTGTAACTGCCATGCAATGTCCCACTTTAAACTGCAGGACTGACAAGGCTGCACAAAAACATATTTAATAAATTACACATTAACTTCCTCTGTGCATGCAGGTTGCAAGGGGGGAATAGTATGTAAAGGTCCACAGGCTCCCAGCTTCACTCCCATGTTAGCAGTGGGTGGGAAAATATTATTAGGATTACCAGGTCCTTTTTGTTATTAAGCACAGTACAAGGGAATAAAGAGTTATCATGCATGAATGTTTTGACTTGACATAGTTAATGATTCAAGCAGTCAGAAAATCTCTAATCCCCGACCTATAAATAGTTCTAAATAGTGTTTTGATATTCTTTATTTGAAGTCTAACCAGTTGGAAACCTTCCTGCTGAAATACAGCTAATTTCCTGCCTGCCTGTCTGACTGTCTACCCTTTCTGATCCCATGTTTACTCTTCTCTGCTTATTTAACTGATACTGACTCTTCTCCACCTTTCCTGAACTACAGACCAGATCTGACAATGCCTACTATCTGCCATTGTTCCTTTCCAAGACGTTTCTGATTATTTAACTCCGGACTGCAGATCCCCATCTCCTAACTAATAATTTTGAATTATTGATTTTTTTTTCATCTATTATGTTTTCTCTCATTACCATAGATTTCCATTAAGTGTTTCCTCATTCAAGGTCAAGATTCTTTTTCGTGTCTGCATTGAGTGTGCACCTCCAACCAACTAAATCTAGGACAACAAAAGCCATGTTTCAATCATTTACAAAAAAATAAACATCACTCAAAATTCACTGGAGGCCTCTTGACTAGTGGCACGGCTTGGGCAGAATTGTCTTGGTTTATACATAGGCTTTATTCCATTACAAATTACTTAACTGTGTTATTGCTAATCAGACTAGGAATGATCTATCAATGTGTATGTCATGAGAACATTGGCTAGCTTTAGATGCAACAAGTAAAAACAAAATATAACAAAACTTGATTATTTTGCTGTTACCAAATGTATTTACATAATTTCTTGCTAGTTTAGTGGTATAACGTTAAAGGAAATAATTAGGAGTCAGAAAGAAAGATAATGAAATGTATTTACCGTAACCCTATAGTGAACATAATTAATTATGGAATCAGTGGGTTCCAGCATCAATTGCAATATTCATGAAATTGATTAAACATAGTTATGTACAGTAAATCTAATATTTCAGGGATAAAATGTAACCTTATCAATGCATCTATCAAAGCGGACCACCTTTGCAGAAAGTCACGTGAAAGTCAGCAGCTTATTTTACATAGCAAAACAATTACATTTGATAATATTTATTGCTTCTTTTAGTGAAAAAAAATTAGATAAAGATTGTATTGGGGAAATATTTTTGACTATAAAAGATATTGTTGTGTAGAGTAGACAATTGTAAAGATAGAGAATGTGTCACTGATAATATACTCTTAAGCATTTAATATATATATATATATATATATATATATATATATATATTTATTTAATTTGACAATTTTTATTGTATTTTCATTTAGTGCATCACACATATAACATATTGGTATCAGTCAATTGTCATACACATTCGTAATACTGGGTTCAGTAATTCCATTGTCATATATCATTAGGTGGATATGTACCCTGTGCCGCTCATTTATACTGCGTTGTCTTGCCACCTGTCACAGCCCCCGGATTCCCCGGGTATTTGCTGTGTCCACTTAAGCTAATGACCTTGCAAGTATTCTGGTTGTCGTTTTTCTTGGAAGTAGTATGGTTGTAAGCACTGACTATCCTGTATCGTACAGTCAGCATGAAGTTTATTTTTGTTTTGACAGAAACTAAATCAACATAGTCTAGATAAACCTAAGTTAACAAAAATAAAACAAATTAACATAAATGTTACAAATTTATAGCAATAATGTGGTCTCACATGGAAATTTCCCACTGGACCCCCTCTATACTAGTGTTTACTTTGTTTTTTCCCCTTCATTCTGCCTGTTATCCACTATCCAAAAGCATCCCATCTCTCTATAGCTTATGTGAAATAGTTTCCCGGTTTCATGTGTTTGTGGGCCAAGGTTAAATATTTCCAATTCAGTGAGATTTGGTTAATTAGTGTCAGCTTTGTCATTGATGTCTTCCATGCTCTAGCTATAAGTTATACTGCTGATATCAAATAGTAATCTCTCTTCATTTTCCTTTATAGAAGTTGGGAACATGAAGAGCAGGCATTACATAGAAACATAGAATGAGACGGCAGATAAGAACCATTTGGCCCATCTAGTCTGCCCAATTTTCAAAATACTTTTAATTAGTCCCTGGCCTTATCTTAAGTCTAGCATTGCTCCAGGGTCAGCCCACATGGTCTACCCAACAGTGCCAATGCTATTTCCTCTATCATTTTCCAGTAGGGCTGAATCACCTTGCATGTCCACCATATGTGGCCCATCGTACCGATGATTGTATTATATATCCAGCACATGTTGGGGGAGTTTGGATACATTTTCAATAGTCTATCTGGTACCATATATCACCTATATTGCAATTTCCTTATTATCGCTAGGTGCAATGCACAAGATGTCTTGCCTTTGTGGGCCTCAAATGCTGTTTTCAATAGAGCTTTACTTAGGAGATGCCCTAGTTCCTTGTGCCAAGCTACTTGGAAGGACATTTCTTCTTTTTGATTGTATGACAAGAGCAACTTGTATAATATAGAAATTATATTTTTGGGCGGTGTGTTGGAAAGGCATATTGTCTCTAATGTGGAGTTTTTGGGGGATGGACTTTTTGTTACTGTCACCTTCATTAGGATAACACAGCTTTATTGGGTATGTGGAAGATAGCTTGGAGTTCCAGAAAAGGTAGTATATTGTCTTCCCTGTATAATTGTTTTATATATATATATATCCCGCCTTAGTCCAGTGTGTGTGGTCGAAGGTCAGGATCTCTAATGTTAGACTGGAGATTGGGGCATCTGGTAATATTGATTCGGGTTCTCCCATGTTGCTCTTTATCTTGTCCTATGTTTTTAGCATCAAGACCATGGTTGGGAGGATGTGTGTCTGTGGTGGGCATGTGTGTTTAGGTAGCCAGACTAAGTGTCTCAGGCCCTGTTGGCATGCCCAGTGAGATTCCACAAGTGTCCACTGTGGTGGATCACCACTGGAGGTTGAGGTGTTGACTGCCGCCAGTTGTGCTGCTCTATAGTACAGACAAACATCTGGCAGCCCCAATCCCCCCTCCCATGCCAGTTTTTGTAGTGTTGTCATGGCCACTCTAAT